AAAAATTTACAAAATTCATGAAAATTGTAAAAAAATGACTATAAAGGGCAATAACTCCTTAAGGGGACAATTGAAAATTTTGATCATGTTGACTTATTTGTAGATCTTACTTTGCTGTACATTATTGCCGTTTACAGTTTATCTCCATCTATAATAATATTCAAGATAATAACCAAAAGCTGCAAAATTTTCTTAAAATTACCAATTCAGGGGCAGCAACCCAACAACGTGTTGCCTGATTGGTCTGAAAATTTCAGGGCAGATAGATCTTGACCTAATGAACAATTTTATCCTCGTCAGATTTGCTCTAAATGCTTTGGTTTCAGAGATATGAGCCAAAAACTGCATTTTACCCTATGTACTATTTTTTAGCCATGTCGGCCATCTTGTATCGGGCGGGGTCATCGGACACAATTTTTAAACTAGATACCCCAACGATGATTGTGGCCAAGTTTGGTTAAATTTTGCCAAGTAGTTTCAGAGGAGAAGATTTTTGTAAAAGATTACAAAAATTTACGAAAAAATGGTTAAAAATTGACTATAAAGGGCAATAACTCCTTAAGGGGTCAAATGACCATTTTGGTCACGTTGACTTATTTGTAGATCTTACTTTGCTGAACATTATTGCTGTTTACAGTTTATCTCTATCTATAATAATATTCAAGATAAAAACCAAAAACGGCAAAATTTCCTTAAAATTACCAATTCAGGGGCAGCAACCCAACAACGGTTTGTCCGATTCATCTGAAAATTTCAGGGCAGCTAGATCTTGACCTAATGAACAATTTTACCCCTTGTCAGATTTGCTCTAAAGGCTTTGGTTTCAGAGATATAAGCCAAAATCTACATTTTACCCCTATGTTCTATTTTTAGCCATGGCGGCCATCTTGGTTGGTTGACCGGATCACCGGACACATTTTTTAAACTAGATACCCCAATGATGATTGTGACCAAGTTTGATTAAATTTGACCCAGTAGTTTCAGAGGAGAAGATTTTTGTAAAAGTTTACGGATGACGAACGCAAAGTGATGAGAAAAGCTCACTTGACCTTTCAGGTCAGGTGAGCTAAAAATGGGGAATGTGTCCATGGGACACAGATGATGCCCCCGCTTGCATATCATATAAAGTTATAAACAGACATAACCGAAGAAAGGTAAAAGTGACACTACCCAAATTTGTACTTGATCTGAGTTTTGTGGTAATAAGGCCAGACATAAAAATATTTCTGTTTGCCCAAACCTTACCCAACAGTCTCAGGTGTGGGTAGGTAGGTAGGGAAATATTTTTTTTTTATACTTAACAGTTTAAGAGAAAAATAAGGGTCATAATTATTTTACCTTGTCATGCTTGTAAACAACTTTTACAATGAAAGCTTAAGACTATTATAGAGTTTTGTATAAATTGTCAGACACATATATGCGTAAAATTGAGAATGGAAATGGGGAATATGTCAAAGAGACAACAACCTGACCAAAGAGCAGACAACAGCCAAAGGCCACCAATGGGTCTTCAACGCAGCGACAAAATCCCGCACCCAGAGGTGGTCCTCAGCTGGCCCCAAAATCCTGCACCCAGAGGTGGTCCTCAGCTGGCCCCAAAATCCTGCACCCAGAGGTGGTCCTCAGCTGGCCCCAAAATAAAATTGTGTACTAGTTCAGTGAAAATGAACATCATACTTAACTCTAAAACATATAAATGAACTAAAATTAAAAAAACATACAAGACCTTTTGCCAATGTAGAAAAAACAAACACACAGCAATATGTACAGTAAAACTCAGTTAAAAAAAAGTCTGAGTCCAATGTCTGAATAGGTAACCAAATTAACAAACAAAGGACTACTAGCAGTTACTGACATGCCAGCTCCAGGCCTCAATTAAACTGATTAAAAGAGTATGTCTACATCATATGAAAATCAAGTACAATCCCTCCTGTAAGGGGTTTAGTATCAAAAACTATCATACTATCATAAAATATATGAGAAGAACATAACCCGTATCATGCCATAACTGATTTTAAACTGTATCTATTTACAACCAATGCAGCAAATTTTAATGGCGAATCAAATTCCTGAACACTTGGATTGGTTCAGCAAAATCGGGCTGAAATGAGTGTCCCGATCGATCAGAGACAGTCACATAAATTACATCAGTTTTCTGCAGCATGAAGTCATCACACACCGTTTTCCATGTTTTTTGTGTTTTCAAAACGATAGATTTTGTTGGAAATTGCAGGTTATGATTTTAATCCAAACGAGACGGTAACATGTTGTTTTTCATCTGTATCAATTGAAGGCTTTTATACATAACACAAATTGTCCTGTGATGTCAGAACGGATCAGGTTATTCTATGCAACAAACTCAAGACTGATACGGATACGAAAAAAAACCGCAAAATAAAAACATTATGAATTTTGAATAAAAAAAGATTTTGACTCGGGTGCTTTTTTATGGGTCGGTCGGGTTAGGGTAAACCAACCTATTCTTTTTCATGGCCTAACTGTTGTGTATAAGTTTCATAACATTTGGTTGAGGCTAACTTAAGTGTAAGAGAAGGGAAACTAAAAATTCAGAAATTTTTCCATTGTAAAGGGGCATAACTCTAGAACGGTTAAAGAGACACCACCAAAATTCAAACTTGATCTGTATTTTGTGGTAATAAGCATTTTATAAGTTTCATAACATTTGGTTAAGGAAAACTAAAGTTAGAGAACGGAAAACGAAAAATTCAGCAATTTTTCCATTTGTAAAGGGGCATAAATCTAGAACGTTTAAGGTGACACCACCAAAATTCGAACTTGATCTGTATTTTGTGGTAATAAGCATAGTGTATAAGTTTCATAACATTTGGTTGAGGCAAACTAAAGTTAGAGAATGGAAACCAACCTTTGACGTACATACTGATGGACGGATGTACGTATAGACAAGGGTAAAACTTAATGCCCCCTTCACTACGGCAGGGGCATAAAAAATTAAAATTAAATCGTAAGTTATGGGAACAGTGCTTTAAAATTCTTTTACTTATTTTCATTTCCACATTTTTTTGAATGTCTGCAGTGAAGAACTAAAGTGTTACAGGTCAATATCATACAATTTTGTGTCATATGCACACTCAGTCAAATTTCATGTACATGTATACACTCACTACAGTACTAGTGTGCATATATGTCTGGTCATAAAGATCTCTGGTTATACATTTATAACATAAAATTACTTTATGTCTATTCAGTTTTGAATGATTAAAAGCATTTAGTTGTGCCAGGAGCGAATGACTTCTGAGCTGCTTCATTGGGATTAATTGAAAGGAACTGTAACCCTGTTGGAGGATGAGCTTTATATGCTGTATAATTGGAGATATAAAGAGACTATCTGGTTGAGTTAGGGAAGATCTTTTTTAGCTCAGTCGGTTAGAGTGCTGCCTTTAAATCCTGAGGTTGCAATTTCAAATCCTACTAGAACTATCCATGTATTTTTATTCTAATGGTGCTGCAAGCAACTCCTACTGGCCTTCTGACCTCACTGTCTGTGAGTACCAAGCAGTTAAATACATGTACATGATCTTCCAATAAGAAAATTTTCCCAGGAAAATTTGACATCAGAAAGCAAATATCTTTGACATATATGTATGTCACAACATCCTTTGACAGGTCAAACATGACATTTCATTAATAAACGGAAATTGGAATCTCGTCTATAGATATGGTCATGAGGTATATAGATACATTGTATAAGAAGATGTGGTATGAGTGCCAATGAGACAACTCTTTTTTTCACTGTCAAATACAGAAGTCATGAACCGGTATCAACGATTTGCAGCATCAACAACAAGAAGTTTCGTACCCATTTTGTAAAACGTTGAAGAAAAATTTGGAGGGCAAACGTTAAGAATTTAAATGGTTTTAATGACTTTAAACTGCAAATTTCATAGTAATAGACTATGCAACATGCATCTTACGATTCTGAATGTAAACCTGATGTATTAATTTGTTATCTAAGAAACGAAATTGGAATTATGATACCAAATTTCTTCAGATTATTAAGTTGCAGTTAATATTGATTGCGTAAGTCAATATAAAAGCATGTGTTCCACTTGTTAAATTTTTTTCTTTGATAACTGGATTTAAAATTTATTTTTTAATCTAAATTTTCATTAGCATTTGCTGAAACGTAATTAAATATTGCAATCACTCATCTACATTGTATCTTGATAAAGTGTTCTACTGTCAGGTGTGTCGATCTACGTACCTGTACAAGTGATTAGTGATCTTTAGGCGAATATCCCTCAGGGCTTTAAAACTGTAATCAGGAGGACCATTTGGATTATAATACAATTAAATTCACTTGATAATAATTGCGAACAAAAATGGTGGCGGCTAGCGAAACAAAAACAAAATTGGGACGACTGCGGAAGATAATTTAACGATGACGTGGACCATTTGACGATGGCAGAAGATATTTCAACGATGGTGGTGAGCCATTATAAGACAGGTCATGGAGATAACTGGTGATGATGACGAGCAAGAATCTAGCCAGATGGTTTGTGAAAGAATCAGAGGATGTACAGAGCTGCTCGGATGGATGGTATGTAACACAGAAAAAATCTAACAGTGGAGTATGTTGTATTTGGAGATATAAAGGGAGTCTAACTGGTTGAGTTAAGGACGATCTTCTTAACTGGTAAGACCGCTCGATTTAGATCTCGAGATTGCTGGTTCAAATCCCGCTGGTACTATCCTTTTATTTTCCTGTACGGCAGCTGGATGAATGAATATCAGCCATTAAGATTAAAATGTAAAATTATTTGGATTCGTATTCGTGGGTTTATCAAAAGACACGTATCAACAGTAACTTTAAATTTTAAAGCAATAATGCGGATAAATTATTCAGTCATGGACGAATCAGCTGATCGACAGAACGAGACAAGGGACGAATATGTCGACATTTACCGATAATTTTACATCATTTAAGTCTTTTCTGTGTTCATATGGAAACACCTACTTACCAGAAACCACCGTCCCTATTAATAATAGCATACACAACGCAGTTAAACTACTGTCCATGTTGGAAAATGAATATTGTTTTGTTATCAAGTTTCTGGCTTAATCCAGGTTTGATGTACGCCCTTGACCTCTGATCATGTGGTCATTAATTTCACACATGCGTACATTAGATGGTAGAGAAGAGTTACGTTTCTTCTCCCGCTAATAGATACTAAATATTATTGTTTCCTTTTTTAAATATTGGTGGTTTCAAACAGAACTCTGCACCTTTAAATGATCTTAAATGCTTCATTCATTACACCCTGATCCTCCTGATCCTAAGGTCAAAAATTGACACGACTTGTCTCTCTTGTACAGAATGTTCCTCATACGGTGCACCATTTCTCCTGGTAATTTCTTATGTAGTACTTTGAAAAGTTAGTTTAGGCGCAGGATCGGGTACTAGTATCAGGACTTGCTAGGTCTTGAAAACGCCCTGATTCAGATATATATTCCCCTATAATTTGTGCAGTTTTTTCATATGTTTCTCTCTTTGATAGTGAAAGTAGTGATTGAATGTCCAGTGGAATGTTAACTATTTCCAGTTGTCTTTTTAAGTCCTCTCTTTCTTGGTGGTATCTAGGACAGTATATCAAATAGTGTTCTGTTGTTTCTTCTTCTCCGCATTCACAATATGGCGTGAGGGATTGACCTAATTGGTTTCTGTATTTGTTTAGTCTGCTGTAGCCTGTTCTTAATTCCGATAGTATTCTTCCAATTTGAGTGTTAGGGAGGTCTAGTTGAACTATTTTTCCAACAATAGGTACCAGATCATATAGGTGTCTTCCTGTTTCACCAATTGTCCATCTGCTTTGCCATTTCAGTTTTGTAGACATCTTGACTGCACTTCTGACATCCGACATAGTTACGACATTATATTGTTCATTTAGTGACGAGGCCTCCTTTGCAGCATCTTTCGCCAACTGGTCCGCTATCTCGTTCCCGGCTATATTAGCATGGCCTGGGATCCAAGATAGGGTTGTTAGTATGCCTTGTCTCAAGAGTGCCCCCATACTTTCTTTAATGTCTGTTATGGTATCTATGTAGTTTGAAGATTTCCAGTGCAAAGTCAAGATGCCTACAGCAGTCTGGCTATCTGATAATATTTTGACCTCAGAACACTGGTCCTTAATTGACGTAATACAGTGCTCCAGAACCATAAGGATAGCTACAAGTTCGGCAAGTAGTATTGATCCTCTGTTAGCTACTGGCCTTTTTAAGCTTACGCCATGGCTATTTCTGGAATATACTACAGCCCCCTACATGGTCCTGGATTACCCTGACAAGAGCCGTCAGTGAATGCCACTATAGTTGAGTCGGTACTGTCTCCTAGTAGGTTCTTTACAACCTCTTTACTTTCAACAGTTTGTTCTGCAGTTCTGTTCTTTGAACTACCAAGTCGACTCCAGTAGCTTGGTGCTCTCATCAGCATAAAATCTGCGCCAGCTTTGTATGTAAATTCTGGTTCAATGAGTTTAATATCTACCTTTGTGGCTTTGAACATGTCTGCAGATTGGTTTCCAGCTTTACCAAAAGGTGACTCTTGATGTTCATAAGTATCGTTGTTGGTAAGATACAGTAACTGTTCCAGTTGTTGTTTAATTGGTTCTACTATGTTCTTAGATTGAATTTTAGCCAATTCACGCACTGATGTTTCCTCGATTTTTAGGTCGATAGGTTGCATATTGGCTTCGACTTCCATTGCCTCTCTACCTGATGTTCCTGGTAGTCCAAGGCATAATGACAGGCCTTTTCTTTGTACTGCTTCTAGTTTTTTCATATTGTCTGCAGATGTTATTTGCCAGACTTGGCATGCATACTCCATAATAGATCTTACCATGCTGTTGTAAATTTGGAGTAGTTTTGCTCTTGATATTTTCCCCATGCATGCCCTTTATATCTCTTATTACATATATTGCATTGTTTGCTCTTTTCTGCATTAGGTTGATGTGGGTGTCAAATTTTAATTTCTCATCCAGAGTTACACCGAGTAGTTTGGGTGTTGGACTGTATTTAAATTTGAAGGAGTTTACGATTAATGTTTTTTGCTCTGCATCTGTGTTGTCTTTTGAGAATAGACAGACTTCACATTTTTCCAGGTTTACATTAATTCTCCATTTTTGTGTCCACTTTAGTACTGTTTTGACATCCTCTGCAGTATTTTCTTTTAGCTTGCTTATGTCTTTCCCCTTATGCCATATTGTTCCATCATCTGCAAACTTGCAATTTTCCCCTTTGGTGTTGTCCATAATGTCAGCTATGAAGATGTTAAAAAGGGTTGGCGATAGTACTGACCCTTGGGGCAAGCCTATTTTTGTATCAAACTGTTTTCCCAAGAAGTTATTTAGCATACATCTGGCTGTTCTATTCGTGAGGAAACTGTTGATCCACAACCAGTTTTTTCCCTTTATACCAAACTTATGTAGCTTGATCATCAACCCCTCACGCCATCTTGTATACTATTTATTTACATCTCCTTTTAACCATTAGAGGAAATAAACAGAGAAGCATTAGATCTCGGACACTTTGAACTCCTTATTATTGTTTTGGTAGAAGCAAATTCCGCCTTTGACGATGTAGTGCATGAAAATTGAATGCGTAAGCTATATTTTTCGGAATACAAGATAGACATTGGAATATCATCGACACAAAACATGTTTCCAAGTGGATTCCATATTGCTGAATTTTATGTTTTTATTCACCAGTATATATATTTTATGCAGTTCTTTTCTTTAATAAATTTATATATAATGAATGTTTTGATCAACTTAAATATTGAAATCATGTTTAGTATTGTATGTTTTGTCTTGTAGTCATAATCATGTAAACTGTCATTATTCTGCCCTAATACGGGCACTGTGATTAGTTAGAACATACTCACCCCTTCTCGTCCAATGAAAAGTCAGTTTTTTCCCTTCTAATTTCCATAGTACATGGCTTTCCATGCACTATAAAATGCTATACATGAATGACTTTTCATTGTAGATTAATTATGAAAGTGAACTCTTAATAACTTCACTAACGAAGTATACAATCCCCTGAGGCATTTTCCTTGGGAAAATAGCCTACTGATTAAAGATGAAAGAGAAAAGAATTTTAAAAAACATTTTGAACATTGCAAATCTTTATATTAATGGTGCATATATATAACAAACAAAAAATATAATGGGGGCAAAGATGTAGGTAAAATTATCTTTTATACAATTTTTATACCAGACATTGGAGTCGATTATTTTTTTCAAGAAAACAATGTCAGACTGCTGATATATAAAGCAAAGGATTTTTATGAGAAAAAAACCAACAATACATGTACATTCATTAATAAAAAGTAAGCATCTGATGTTGAATGGTCGTAATTCAAATATTTATAGAGTAAGTTTTATAATTATCAAAAAATAATCAAATTTCATAAATCGGATTGATATAACATTGTGTGCTCAATAAAATCAAGAAATTTAAGGTATATAAGTATTAAATTTTTACCTGAAGCAGAAGAAAAACTCAAATGTTTGAACGATTTATCCTTTTTGTCCTCACAAACTATGTCAGTGCTATTTCATTCCATCCATTGTAATGGTCATTACTTACCTATGTTATATACTCATTTCATTATAAAAAGTGAATTCTTATTTAGTTTTGAATATTACAATGGGAAAGGATAATTTTGTAAGGTCACTCGAAAGTGTGAATATGTTCTAAATTGGTCAGACAATACTTGGTCATGTTTTATGAAGATTTAAAGCCCTCGGCTACGCCTTGGGCTTTAAATCTTCATAAAACATGACCAAGTATTGTCTAACCTTTACTTAATATTTGTATTTGTATTTGTATGGTATTTAAACCAAGTTGTCGTTAAATGAAATTGGATGCCCTAGGCTGAATTTATCATGCTTTTAAATAACATCAAATTGCTGAAAGCCCCTCCTAAATTTAGGAAAACTATCATTCTGCATTGACAAAAATATCTTGGTGTAAATTATACACACCCAATCGGGCTAACGCACTCAAGGTGTATCTATAATACAAAAACAGTTAATATCAAGTTCACTTACTTATACATCTACATAATTATATGTGTACAAATACCTTACAGAGTTGAAAAGTCAACTGTGACAAAATGATGAATATACATGAATAAATAATTCACTCAATACACCGCATACATTTATCCATCAGACTCATTTAAAAATAAACTTATATCAACATTAATAGTTGTCCTTTTTCTTTATTTTGATTATTCAAATTCTAGAGTAAAAATCGCCATTTAAATTTACGACAAAAGTGGCGATTTTCGTTCCATATAGTTTATTTTCCTTTTATTTTTGGACGGAGACGTTCCTGTCTTTAAGTTTCTATAATTACATTACATGTATGTTTCACGAGAATCCGTTAGTTTGATTGTCTAACAACAATCGCGCGTCATTCAAAAATTAACCTTCACATCAAAATGAAATGTTACATTCGTGGGTTTAATTTAAGATTTAAATTATTTAATTAGCAAAGCAGTGAAACTTATATTTTTACACTTCAGTGATGACACTGGTTCAAACTAGAATTTTGTTAGTATATGCTCTTGCATTGCAATCTACTCACTAGATGATTTCGCTCTTTTTATTAGATATAATACATTTCCTTTGTTGTAAATTGTTTATTTATACTATTGCAAAGTTTCATCTTTACTTTTGAATTTGATATTACGTCAAAAAAACCATTCAGTTTGGTGAGAGAGAATTATTAATACCTCTAGTCTCAATACCAGATTCTCCATTGTGTCCCGTTCAAGCATTTTTGAATATGAAGTCTTCAGTTTGCACTTCTGATAAGAGTCCAGCTTATTGTTTTATTAAGAATAAATTATGTGTTCCTGTTACTGATAGACAATTTCAGATAATATTGAAACAGTTAATTACCGAGATTGGTTTAGATGCGTCTTCATATTCTACGCACAGATTTAGGCGAGGGGGTGCTAGTTGGGCTTTTGCAGCTGAATACCTACTGAATTAATTCAATTATACGGGGATTAGAAAGGCAATGCTTACAAGAGATATTTAAAATTTTCATTAGACGATAAGATTTCAGTAGCAAAAAAGATGACGGCACATATCACTGATGT